AAACCCCACGCTGGGCTCCCACATTCCCAAACCCCACGCTGGACTCCCGCACTCCCAAACCCCACTCTGGGCTCCACAGCCTGACCTCAGGGTCTTGCTAGTGCCTCCCAGAGACCCAGAGACCCCAACCAAAGCCAGGGCCCAGCCCTGATTTAGCAACCACCCAGCAGGCAAGCCGTCCCCAGCAGAGGGGACGGGGCTGTTGCACCACCCCAGCTCTGCTCTGCTTCCTGCAATTGTGCAGCTCCCCCATTACAAAAGCAGCAGGCACCTTTACGAAAGCAGCAGACGCCAGCAGGAGACACCGGCTCCTTGCTCTTCCTACCAGGGAAGCTGCTCACTTCCCCAGCACCGGCCGCTTGAGTGCACGCAGGTCGCGGTGGTCTTTAAAAATGGTTCAAGAGCGTTTTTGTACCCTCGAAGGGGGGGTGAGAGCAGAGCAACCGCCCCGCAAACTTGCACCCTGCCTCAACAAGCCCCTCACCCCTCTGCGCGGCCGCAGCCACGGGAAGGGAAGGCAGCGCGCGTTCCCCTTCGTTAGGCTGCGAGAGCGATCACCCCCCAGCCTCCCTTGCGTTCCTCCCACAATGGTCCCAGCCCCTGGCGCAGCCCCTACCCCCCACCCAGCAGCCCAGCCCCTCAATGATATGACCACACAGAACAGTCTCGTTGTTAGTATTTATTTAGAAGTTATTACTAAGGAAATCACTATGTGTTAACTCGATCTAATTGAAGATGTCCCTGCTCATTGCAAGGAGGGGTTGGACTAAATGACCTGTAAAGGTCCCTTCCCACCCGAACTATTCTATATGATTCTATGAAATGCCCTGAAGTAGGACAAGGAGAGATACTCAACAGGTACCACTAAACTGCACTCCAGGAAAGACACCGCTCACCTGCTTGAAATGTTTCTGCTCAGCCCTGGGGAGGAAACAGTCTGCTAACTGCATCACCAGCCGACGCAGCAAAGCTCAGGCACACAAGGACGTAGCTTTGAAACCATTCTGTGGCCAGGAAAGCCGTCAGAAGAGCAAGCAGACCTGCTGCTCTCTGCTCCACGCACCTTCAGCAGTTGGGTTCGAGGTGTGCCTTCTCCTCGAGGCTCAGAAGCCCTTGCTCCCAGGGCTGCGGGAGACAAAACGCCCGACTGAAGGGAAAGACATGGCTTAGGAAAGACTCCACGTTACCTTCTCTAGCCAGTCTGGAAGCTGTGCCCATGGCTCAGAAGGCAGCAGGAACAGGCGACATTCACGGTCTGTCGCAATGTCGGGATCACTCCCTGTGAGGGCACTGAAGGTCAGCTCACTATATCACACCTAGAAATCGGGCAGCACTGCAGGATGAAGGGGAAGGGACAAGGGACAAGGGACAAATGCTTGCAGCCACCAGTCATGGCAAGAACTGCAGGACCTAGCCTGTTCACCTCCACCTGGGCAGGGAAGAAGCAGGGCAGGGGCCTCCATCACCAACTGCATCCAATCAGACCAAACACGGGCACCTCAGGCCCAACCACCTTCACCCCCCCGTGCTACAGCCCACCCCTGCAAGCCACAGGACACACTCTGGGCTGCAGGCCACGTCAGAAGTCACAGCAAAATTCCCATCTTAGGTAGACTTATACTATATCATACTATAGATACACACAGCAACGTGTCAGAACAGGTCAACCCTAAAACTATTCTTCCCTGCTAAACCCTCTAAGCTGACAGCAATCGGGAGAGTATTCAGAAGAATCTGCTTAGATGGATTATCTATTAAGGTAGCTGTTTGCCCCTTCCTGGCAAGGTGCCTGGCATTACCCCGAGAAGCAGGAGGCAGCACGGTCACATCCCATTGGCACGGTGATGCTCAATGACAACCGTGGCAGCGTGCTGCCTTTCCTCCTGCGACCCGTTCTTCCACACCATCGACACCACTGTTTGCACAGGGCCGCTCTCGACATGCTGCTCCTGAGGCTGGGGACGGCCCGGCTCAGAGCCTTCTGCCATCGGAGGGTCGGAGGACGAGTTGCTGTTGACAGAAGATCTGGCATCCGTCTTGGGAGCACTCTGCCCCTCTTCCCCGGAGGGACTGAGGCTGCCAGATGTCGAGGGTTCCTCCGGCTGTGAGCTGAGCTCCTCAGCCACAGCACCCTCCTGCACATCAGGTGCTGCCTGGTTCGGGACCTTGCGGATGCGCTGTGTCTGCACTGCAAGAGAGTTACAGCCAGACATGACATTCCCAGCCCCTCACCCTCCTCCTCTGAGCACGCGCCATCACAAGAGGGGAACAAAGTGTTCAACTAGGGATGCCTCCTGCCAGGGGAAGCCGGGAGAAGACACAGCACAGCTGCCAGTGCTCCAAGAGGGACTGGATGCCTCCAGTTCTTGTACCACCTCTGGCCCAGGGCCCTGGCCCCAGGCAGGCCTCTGCAATGGGGCTGAGGAAGGGTCCAGAGCTGGGGCAAGACGGCAAAGCCAAACCTAGTGGCCACCCCAGGCAAGGGGATGCTGGGTCGGAGGCGACCCAGAGTTCAGGCTGTCTCTGAGGACGGTGGTCTGCCCTGGAGGGCAGCGCTTTACCCAGAGCCACCCCTCACCGTCCCCCCCAGCACTCACCCCTGATCTCCAGCTTTCTCTCCCTCCTCCCAGGCAAGCAGAGGCTGGGTGGGACCGTGAGGCATAAGGACAGAACCACGACCTGGAAACAGAAAGAAGATCAGCACTGACCTCAGCAAAAGACATGCATAGGCATCATCAGCTGCAATAAACGTCTCTCTCCCAAACTTATAAGGACAGCAGAGACCCCTTCACAAACGCTTGGGGCTGAAGCCACTCACCATGCCGCAGGTTGTTATTGTAGTTCTGGTTTTGGACTGTCTCATGGAGGCCCGCAGTTTCTGCAACTGCTTCAGCAGTGACCTGCAGGAGAGCAGGCAACGCAGGTTAATGCAGTGGCTGAACCAAGAGCCACACGCTGCCCTCCTCCCCGCTTTGCAGCCCAGAACAGGCCACAATCCCAAGGAGACAAATAGCCTTCTCCACCACATCTCCTGCCATCTCCAATAAGAAGAACTCACATGTTCTGCTTCTGCAGCAGCTCCACCTTCTTCTCCAGCTTCTGGTTCTGAGCGGTGCAGGCTTCCAGCCTTCCCGGGAAAGGTGAAGAGCATGGGGTAAAAACAGAGAGGTGTTGTTAGTCAACAGCAGGGACTTCACCAGAGTCTCTCCTCAGGTAATCAGCCACCACCTCTGGGTGGCTGTGGCAGATAAAATTGCTCTGGGGTCTACCCGGCACCACCCGGAGCAAAGCCCAGAGAGTGACAACTCACACCAGATTTGGGGAGGGGTGAGCCCTGCCCAGTGCCACAGAGAATCACCAGACTAATCCCTCAGGATGCTCACTCCTAGCAGCATACCAGCCCTGCAAATCCACAACATCAGGCTGTATTGTAAACTAGCCTGACCTGGAGAACACAGTGGACCAGGCAGGCCAGCACCTGGCTTGAACAGAGCAAGCTCTGGGCCATCTCCAAGCATTAAGAGAGCAGGGTAAGCTATGCCCCTAGCTTCTGAGCCGCCCCCTGAGGAGAGCTGCTGCCCCAAAGCATCAGCCTTACTTTCTGCCCAGGGTGGCAAGACCACAGCAGCAACACAGCACAGCTGCTCGTAACCGGTACCACCTACTCCTGATTCCTGGCAATGTGGTTAGCACAACTAATGCCATTTTGTAAGATAAACAGCCATTCTCTGTGACTCAGTGGGTCACGTATTTGTTCCTGTACCCTCATTATCAGGCCCTGAAGGTCCTGTCCACCAAGTAGACAAACTAAACAGATTTCTTGTACCCCTCTCTGCCAGCGTCAAGGTTCCTGGGTGCCAGGCTGGTTACTCCGTTCCTCACCAGCCTTGAAGGTCCCAGGCACCCAGACAGCCCAGTGTTTTTGAAAACCCTGTCACAGAGCAGAGAACTGTAATAGCACACAGAGCACTGCCCACAAAGTGGACAAGCAAGCAGTTACAAGTCCTAAGGGGGAACTGGGACTGGAGCTGCTGCTGGACAGTGAGACCCACGATGTCCCCAGGCCAGGGACACCTCCACCATCACCTACTTCCACCCATGATTAAGGGAGTGATTCGTATAACTTTATATCATTTTCGAGTCTCGATTATGATCATTATACTGATAGAGAAAACTATGTATTAAGATCTGACCCGATGTGCAGAGGATCCAGGTGATTAGAAATCATGGCAAGTTGTATTAGGGTTTAGGTGATTAGAAATTATAAGTTAAGTTGTATTATAAATTCCGTATTACGCTGCTTAAAGATTGTACTACATTGATTCTGCTTGTAGGAATCCCCTGCTGTTCTAATCATAAACTGTATGCTGTATTAATCATAATATGTTAAGAAAACAAAGCTTAAATTGAAACTACAATTTAGTGCCATCATCATTCTGCCAAGGATTCCTAGAAGAACCTGCCTGTCCCCCTGGTGTTGGGTGACACTGCTGTGTGCCTGTACCTGCGTTCCAGGTCATCCACATACATCTTCCTCCTGCGACGACTATCAGAGGCTGAATGCTTGTTCCGGATCCTCTGACGCACTTTCTTCAGAAGCCGCTCTTGAGTCTGCAACGGTCATTTCTCGTTAGCAGCAACCCCAGGGTGTTGGCAATCCAGCCCTCACAAACCCAGCATACGTCTCAGTGTTCAGCCCGCATGCTTTTGTCCTCTGTCCCTCCCACACCACTGAATGAACTGTAGGAGCTGCAAGACAAACTCTGGCCTGCTGATGTGGCCAGCAGCTTCCCCTGGTGTAGCAAAAGTGAGGCATACCCAATGGAGATGAAAAGCACGCAGCCACTAGGCAAGGGGGAAAAAATAGGTTGGAGGCACTTGGGGTGTAACTGCCTCCTGCAAGCAGCCATGCGCAGGGAGACTGACAGCAGCCAGGTCTCATTGCTCTTTGTATCTATAGGATTAGCAAAGCAAAGGCTGCTGTGCACGTGGACACTGCCCAGGCCTTGAAAGGAGGAAAAGGACACCAAGCCCTGCTGCACGCTGCCCTGAACAGAGCACCTGGGCACCAATGCTCTCATCAAGGCACCATCTTGTATTTTCAAACCCCTAATCTGGCTGAAATACTTGAGTGGTCTGTTTGGGAGTGACAGGCTGTAGCAAGGACTCACCTTGTTCAGTGGCTTATGGGTTGGCAATGAAATACCTTCTTTCGCCAGGAGCTGCTTCTCCTCCTCTGTAAGGACCAGCCTTGGGAACGTGGACTAGAAAACAGCAAAAATACACCTGCTGAGAATGCAGTCCACCCCAGGGCAGAGAGGGCATGCAGAAAGCACACAGAACCGGGGTCAGCAGTCTCAAAGCAGCATCACACTTCCCTCAGAGATATCCCTCACAGGAGTCAAGGCAGGAGAGAAGGGAGATGTGAGCAGAAGCAAAGGCTTGGACCCACATGCATGGCAGTGAGTACCTGTGCAAGCTGTGGTCCGGCGTCCACAGCAACGGGCAAACTGGAGCTCTGTTCCTGTTCCAGTGCCTTGCTTATGCCTTCCAAACCCATCCCTGTCCCTGGGGAAGGAAAGGAGAATCAAGCACTGGGCCTTAGTGAGGCAGCACCTGATCAGCCAGCTTTGAGTAGCACGAAACCACAATTTTACAGCAGCAGAAAGCCACTAAACTTGGCGCTCTCCATCGCTGCCTGGCACTGATCCAAAAAAAACCCCAATGTGGGACTGCTTTTCTGCCTGTAGCCGGAACAGAAAGCCCATGCACATCACTTACCAAGGTCGACAGAAGCACCTCCTTGTGCCATGTCAGACATCGTGCTTTCCAGCACAGGCCAATGTGCATGGAGGGAATAGTTGTGATCAGCATGCACAACGCCTGAGCTCCAAGAGCTGCTGGCAAGGTTGCTATCAGGGCTACAGGACGGAAGCTGACCCTCAGAAATGCTGCTGTCACTGTTGGCAGGCAAACAATCCAGTAGTGTGCCTGGTTCATCTGCAAAGGTCATCAAGGAGTTGAGGAAGTCATCTATCTCTTTGTCTAGGACCTGTGGAGAAAAAGTTTTTCCTGAGCAGGGAGCCAAACCTCCTGAACCACAACCCAGCAGCAATTCCTCCAAAAGAACTCACCTTATCCTCTAGCATGCTCCAGTCTTGCATCAGATCGTTCTCCACCTCTGGGAGTTCAGGGCCAGGCACATCATCCTTGAGGATGAAGTCAAGCAGGTCCTCATTTATAAAGGCAGACAGATCCTTTGGGGATGACATCTGAGTAGGACACCCAAAGTGAGCACAGGCACAGGGGGAGACACAAGCATTCCTTCAAGTTGTCCCTCAGCCCCTACAAACAACGTCAGCCCCTACAGACAACCTCAGCCCCTACAGACAAAGTCTCCCCATGCAACGGCAACAGCTGCCAGGGCCCTGCAGCAATGACCAACCCAGGAGTAATTCCCCAGCAAGGCTATTATACCAGCACTGGTGGCCCCACCACACCAGTTTCCCCACCAGACTACGGGGACCCAGCCACAGGAGCCATGCTTCACCCAGAATGCAAAAGCCAGAGGAAGGTGAGGGAAAGTGGAAGGGCCCCAGACTTTCTGCTGTGGAGAGTATGCAAGACCCTGCCATTCCGCTGAAGCCCGAAGGTGCCGTTCCTCTGGCGTGCAGCCAGCGGGACCAGCGCTCCTCTCACAGGCAAATTATTAAAAGAAGTTATCATTGTGGAGTTAAATAAAAGGGTTTCATTAATAATTAAACGATGACCAAATTACAATTAATTGATCACTGAACGGAATTGAAATGATAATCAAACAGTGATTAAGCAATAAGTGAATAGCAATTAAACAGTCATTGGACAACTTAAATGATGTTTTAAACAATAATTTAGGCAGCAAACACTCTACTACTTACTACACTTCTAATAATTAAGCAATAGCTGGAGATGGGTATATATAAAAATGCATAAAATATACTTTTAGAACAAAAGTAAAATGCTGCTTACCTCGCTGTAGATATCGGATGCCGGGTGAAGAGTATCTCAGCCTCGAGGAGTAACTCCAAGAGGTGTCCGTGCTCCACGGGAGATCACTGCCGTGCAGCACTCGTAGAGAATGAAATGGGCTCGGGCAGGGTACAGGCTACTTTTATAGCCAAAAGTGATAGACGTGGTAGTCAAACCACCCCCTTGGTGTTTGTGCAGATGGGCAGCTGTGGCAGCTTTAGTTTTGTCTAGTCCTAGCTTGGACAGTCTTATCTGCCGATAAGACATGGCCTAGACTTCTTGGTCCCTGAGAAGATGTGGCCTTGCACGGTTCTCACGGTTTGCACAGTACGGCTGGTATCAGCCAGGCTGGCATGTTGGTGACTCCTGTACCAAAGCATTGCTCGCTCCGAGCGGGGGCATCCGTCACGCCTCCCCCCTAGCACTGTTAAGCTTTCACACCTAGCTGGCAGGTGTCACGGTCCGAAGAAAAAAACAGAAAAAGAACCACCGCCACCCCCCGCCCCAAATCCCA